AATATCTCCGAGGCGAAATTCTTCAGAAGAGGACTAAGCCAACACCGGGGAAACTTCAATGAAAATCAAAATTCCCGGAGATAAATGATACTGCCTGCACCACGCTCTCTTTCTCTCTGCAATGATCTAATAGATATTTAGATATTATCCATCTAGATATTACGGTAGATTTCATATTGAACTCCAGGGAAACCATTTTCGCTGTTGGTCTTATCGTGATGAAGAGATGATATCAGTCAAATATATATCACTTGTTTGCTCACAAAAGTATTTTTCATCAAATAATATTTCATGGAAAAAAATGTTTTAGTTTCCTCTGACCTTTACTGTGCAATATAGAAGTCTGCGATTTTTGCTGTGGAATGTATTTTATTAATATTCAATGTCATGTACTGTGTGTGTGCACGTGTCGAGTGTGTGTGTTTGTGCGTAGTAAGGATTTGGACAAACACAATTTTGAATAAATATCCATTTATTTCGTTTCTGCAATTAATAACACAGATCTCTATCTTTCTTTCTTTTTCTTTCTGTTTCTGTCTACCTGTCTCTCTCTCTTTCTCTCTCTCTCTCTCTCTCTCTCTCTCTCTCTCTCTCTCTCTCTCTCTCTCTCTCTCTCTCTCTCTCTCTCTCACCCTCTCTCTCTCTCCCTCTTTCTCTCTCTCCCTCTCTCTCTCCCTCTCTCTCTCTCTCTATCTATCTATCTATCTATCTCCCTCTCTCTCCCTCTCCTTCTCCCTCCATCTCTTCCCCTCCCTCTCTCTCTCTCCCTCTCCGTCTCTCGCTCTCCCCCCGTTCTCTCTTTCCCTCTCTCTCCCCCCGCCTTCTCTCTCTCTCTCTCTCTTTCCCTTTCTCTCTCTCTCTTTCTCTCTCTCTCTCTCTCTCTCTCTCTCTCTCTCTCTCTCTCTCTCTCTCTCTCTCTCTCTCTCTCTCTCTCTCTCTCTTTCCCTTCCCCTCTACCCCACCGTTCTCTCTCTCTCTCTCTCTCCTCTCTCTCTCTCTCTCTCTCTCTCTCTCTCTCTCTCTTCTCTCTCTCTCTCTCTCTCTCTCTCTCTCTCTCTTTCCTTCTCCCCCCCCTCCCCGTTCTCTCTCTCCCTCTCTCTCCCTCCAGTCCCCCCGAGCTACAGCATGGCCTGTACCTTCGCCTACCGAATCTACGACAAAGTCCAGCTGAATTACACGGAAGCGGAGATGCAGTGCCAGAGGGACCGTGCTCGGCTCATTGCCATTAAGGTAAAAAGGGAGAAAGAAAAGGTCTCATTTCCACGGTGATGAGAGAGATAGGGAAAGAAAGAGAGAGAAAGAGAGTGAAAGAGAGAGAGAAAGAGAGAGATAGGGAAAGAAAGAGAGAGAAAGAGAGAGAGAGAGAAAGAGAGAGAGGGAGAAAGAGGGAGAGAGAGAGAGAGAGAGAGAGAGAGAGATAATATAATTTCCACCATACTCATCCACATTACCTAACAATATCGGGAATTCACCGAATACCATCATCCATACATACTCAGCACTATACTCATCATTATTCACCCCAGATTCATCAAAAAGAATTCTCAGGTCACCCTATATCACTACTCACCTTAGACTCACTCGCGAAACAACCGTAAACTCATAAATATATTCACAAACTCAATTAATATAACAGTTTCTATTATAAAACTCATTTAACTTCAATAAAAGCCTACCAGACGACCAGAAATTCGTAAGCACAACCTCGACAAAAAAAACTCACAAATACAACTAAAAACTCGGTGATTATAACCACCAATTCACAAATCACAACCTCAAACTCCAAAAAATATATATATATATCACAACCACTATTTCATAAATCACAAACTCACTTAAAAAAAAATCACAACCACCATTTCACAAATCACAAACTCACACTTAAAAAAAAAATCACAACCACCGTTTCACAATTCACAAACTCAAGCTTAAAAAAAAACTTAAATATCACAACCACCATTTGACAAATTTACAACCTACAACCTCAAACTTAAAAAAAAAAAACTTACAAATCACAACCATAACCTCACAAACGCAACCCAAAACTCAAATATCACGACGACCATTTCGCAAATCACAACCACAAATTCACAACACCATCGCCCTTATGCCTCCCCTCCTCCCCACCTCCCCCCCCCCACGCAACCAAAAGACTCACCATTCACCACAACTTCACCATTCGAAAGGCGCCGCTCATTCTACACCATTATCTGTTCCTTATTTTCTCATTTTTTTCCCCTATTTTCCCATTTCCTTTTTTTCCTACGTTTGTATTTTCTTTCGTGTCTCTGTTTTTTTTCGTCTTCTTTTCTCTATTTTTCTTTCTTGTAATTTCTCCCTTTTCTCTATTTACTTCTGTTTTTTGCTCGCATTTGCATAGTTTTTGTTTCCCTTTTTTTCCTATTTTTTCCATTTTCCTGTTTCTCGAATTTTTCCATTTCCTAATTCTATTTTCATCCCTTATCCCTCTTCTCGTTTTCTCTGTTTTTTCCTTTACCCA